GGCAAACAGTAGAAAGTCATGGCATTGGATCAGCAGATGTCATGGTAGTTAAAGGCACTGGATTCCCACATGGCCAGCCATGGTTTGAATCTGGAAGTGGCGGCTTTCTTTTTTGGCTTTCCCTTTTTCTCTATTTCTGTCTCTCTCTGGTCAAATTAAAGAAATAATAACAAATGGAATTAAATAAATAAATATTTTTTTTTAAAATGGAAGTCATGGCATTAAGAATGCAAAAGAGTACTCTCAGGGACAGAGAAGAATGAGTTACTTTACAAAATACAGAAGAAAAGGTGGTTTGGTGCCAGATAAAGGAGGACCTAAAAAAAAAGTGAAATACAGTTACTTATTTTAATATATGTAGTACATTATCTAAATGCTAATGTTCTTTCTTTTTTGGGGGGTTTGTATTTTGAAGTTTTTGGTGTTGCTGTTGTTACTGCAGCAGATTTTTTCTTATTATTTCCTTTGTACTGTCTGCACTTGTCAGATTAAGTAGCCACAGAACATAAAAAGATGCCTAGGTATTCTCTCTTGGCCTTATGCACTTTTCCAGACTCATGCTCCATCATACTTTATCTTGTCATACATCCAAAATTGTAGTCTTCTTACTGTTGTCTGCTTCTCTAAGTAATTTCTTAGATTTTCTTCAGCCTCGTGGTCTTATATTTCCTTTGCCATTTATAAAAGTTCTGTTTATTTTTTAAAACAAAACTCAAATTTCATCTCTTTCTAAATGGGTCAGAGAGAATAAGACCCTTGTAGTTAGAAATACTAAGTTGTTGGGGCCAGCAGTTAGCATAATGGCTATGTTGCTGAACTCCCATGTAGTTTACCACGGTTCAAATCTTGGACCTGGTGGCTTAAACTCATGCCGGGCGCATGTGCATGCGTGCCCAAGATCCCAAGAGGAGAATGGAGGAGAAGGGATTGTGGCGTGGCCATCCCCACTGGGGGGTGATTTCTCACTTTCTATCTCTCTGACTCTCTCTGTCTCTCTGCTGAACGCATGTGCCATATAGCAAAAACCTCTCAAAAAAAAAGAAAAAGAAATACTAAGTTGTTAATGGTGTTAACATGTTGAAAGGATTAAAAATAAAGAGACAAAGCAGATAGAAAACTGTTGTAATGTGAGGCATATAAGTTAGCAATTTTGATTTCTAGGTTTTGTTTTCTAGATTTATTATCTTCTTTCTCCATACCCATGAGCCTTTGTTTTCATCTATATTTTGAGTGCTTTGTCAGTATTGGAGTAAATCTACTTTTACATCTCTGTTGCTGTGCTGGATTGTGCGAACCTGAATAGTTCCTTTGCCTTTTCTTCTGTAATTATAACCATAGTATCTAGCATAGGGTTCTCAATGCATGAACCATTAAATCATTTTGAATGAAACTAGTTTTCTATCTGAATGGCTTCATAAAGCAAATTTTAATGTAATTCTTTTGTAGACTAATACGCGCATGCCCTTTTTATTTATTTTTTAAAAACTTTCTTCTGGAGATTTATTTTGGATGAACTAATTGAAGACGTACTACAGTAATACATTGTACAAAAAGCCTAAAACGTATTTGAAGTGCTGGGTTCTGACACACTCATAATGTATTTGCTCCCAAGCTTATAGGGCAGAGCTTCCCACCTGCACAAATGGAGATACTTTCTTTCCAAAGAAGGTCTGCTCACATGTGATGGATCAAAGGAAAAGATTTTTCTCCCATCAAAAATAACATGGTCACTCCAGTAAATTTTTCTAGTTATATAGATCTAAAGCATTCAATATTCTATTAAATACAGAACTGTTATCTACTTAAAATATTTGTAATATTATATGATGGCCATTTTCTACACCTGTTGAGTTGTCAGAAAAGTCATGACATTTATTCTATACAAAAATGCATCATGACTTTTTTGACACCCCTTTATATAGATGAGACAGGTTATTTTAGCAAAGCAATAGGTGCTTTAGTTATTTTCATTGTTTTCTTCAGTTTATAAACTGTGTCTCCAATTTTATTAAATATACCTTAACAAACTAAGAAATAATGAGTCCCGCCAACACCATAAGAACTGAAAAGAACACTATCTCCTGCCCTTTTAACAATGTTTTTTACCAGCTCTCCTCTTTCCGGAGAGTAGTGCATGGGTTCACATCAAATATGTTTCTGGCTACCTCTCCTTTCTTCCCAAGTGATTCATATTTTTCTGAGCATTCTCTTTTTTTTTTTTGGAGAGGCTTCCACTATAGGGTGCGTGCGCTCGCCAGACAGACAGAGAGAGACATAGAGACAGAAAGCGAGAAATCACCCCCCAGGGGGGATGGTCACACCGCAATCCCTTCTCCTCCATTCTCCTCTCAGGATCTTGGGCATGCACGCACACGCGCCTGGCGTGAGTTTTAAGCTATCGGGTCTGAGATGCAAATCGCGGTCGGCTACATGGGAGTCCAGCGACATAGCCATTACGCTAACTGCTGGTTCCCCTGAGCATTCTTCATCATATTCTTGGCTTCCACCTTGATACACTGAAGACCAGAAACATCATGAGGAATTCAAGAGCAACTCCAACTCCAGCTATAGAAGCGGGTGAATTTTCTCTTCTGCTTCATTTTCCTAGTAATGCTGTGGGATCTTCTTGCCTCGAATGCATAGTGGTCATTGTCTTCATCATCCGTCTCAGCATCACAACTATGCAACCTCAGTCTCCTGAACTGTGTTTGCAGTTGGAGGCATCCCTGTATATTCTTTCCTTTGGGTTGCAGAATTTCAACTTGTTTTCCCTCTGATTTGTTTTGCATTTTGTTGCAGTCTACCATTTTCTTGTCTCCACTTTCAGATTCACCCTTATACTCCGCAAAAGCTCTTCTAAGTTCTCTTTCTACTTTATCATTTCATCATGATAGCAGGGTCAATATAATCAGCTATATTGTGACCTTTCCAGGTATCTGATATCTTATGGTCTTAAGATGAATTCACTAAAGTCCCAGTACTTTAATAGACAGAAAATATAATCATCTCTCATTTCCAGTTCAAGGTCTCATTCCCTTTTCTTCTTGTTTCCATTCTCTTCTTATATGCTATCATTCCTTCTGGAATGAAAAGAGACTGCTCTTTATCATCTTTCTTCTTTGGTATAGCTTAATATAATCTATTCAGCACCTCATTAACTTTATTTCCCTTCATTTTAGTCTGCACTTTGTAAGCTAAAAGCCTCTGTTTTAACTTTCTTAATACCTTTCTCAGTCAAGGTGTTATTCTCTCCTACAGGGAACCTATCAGTCTGCAAATCTATAAATGTTTGTTGATCATCTTCAGAAAGTTCAGTTATTATCTTCATATCACATTTGTTTAACAGTGTTATATTTGGTCTCAATTGTCATTTTTCTCACAGTGCTATTCTTATGGGTCTTTACATTGTAATCATCTTGAAAAATAATAAGTGAGCATTACATCAGTGTTTTAGTCTTTTAAGAGAGACTGCTCAAATATGAAAGTTATTTGTTGTCATTTGTTATAAAGAACAGGAAATAATAACTTCTGATTTCTCTAGACTGAAATTTTTCTTAATTTTTTTTTTCAATAATTTAATGAAAGATAACTCATATAGAAATATCTGCACTTTGAACTTGAAATTCAGACCTGGATTTGAATCTCAGCTCTGTGATTTACCAGTGATGTAATTGGGGATAAATCACTTATCTCTGAAATTCAGTTTCCTCATATGTATTCATACTATCTCCAAAAGTGTGTAAAAATATAATGAGTTGAAGTTTATGAAAGTAAAGATGCAATGCAAAATTTAATAATTAATATCTGGCTTCAACAATAAAATGCTGAGATTGTAATTTCTGCTTTATAGTATTATTGTGAGGATTAAATGTACCATACATATATGTGCCTATTATAGACCTTTAAAGCATTACATAAATGATACATATGCAGTTACCCAAATGATAGCCTGGAAACGTGCCACAAAGGACTTTGGCAGCCAAATAATGTCCAAAGTCTTGGAACTACTATCATGCTACATATTCTCTTATGAGAGCATTTAGGCTATTATTTATACCCTGTTTACTCTTAATATTCATATAATATTAGAAATATGAGCATCAGGTTGAAAGTAGTAATTTGAGAAGTAGTGGGGACACAGTGTCAGCTGTTATGAACCTATCTTGAATTCTTACTAATGATGTAACCTTGGACAAGTAATTTAATTTCTCTGTTCTTCTTATTTTTAATAGGAATAATAAATGATATCTATCGCACAGGTTGTGAAGGTAGAAATAAGTTAATCATTTTACATGACCAGAACATAGTAATCATTCAATAAATTTAAGTTATTCTATGGCAAGAAAAGTAATGAAGACACATTTAGCACCCTGCAACTG